TCTTGAAGAAAAAAAATTTTTAAGGAGTTGAAGAAAGTGTTGGACATATATCACGAGTATTAGAGAGAAAAATAAATATTAAAACAAAAGGCAAAATTTTTTTTTGGTTGAAAAGCGCAAACGTTGCTGTAGTATCTCTGTTTGGGAGAAAATTATTAGTGAAGGGTTTAAAATCAGTGTGGGAGGGGTCCTGTTAGAAGCCAGGGCATTCCTCCCTTTGTTTTTCTTAGAGAAAAGAAAGGCTAACTTTGAAGAAAAGTTTAAAGCAAGAAATATAGAAGTTTGATAACAGAGTCAGAAGGAATAAAGGCTGTGTAAGACTGAGCCATGGTGGGGAGACACCTAGAGGCTAGTATCTAGAGTCAGCAGCTCTTGGGAGAAGGCGGTTGGCAGTTCTCAGTCAGAGGGGGAGGGGAAACTTCTGTCAGAGGGCAGCGTGTAGCAACTCTCAGGGAAGAAGTTTCATTGTTCTTGAGAAGCCAGCAGGCAGAGCGCAAAAGATTTTTGGGGAGAGGGGTAAAGAATGGAGATTAAGGGGTCTCCACTATTTTGTGGGGAACACGTGGAGAGAGGAACTTAGTTTTTTGAATTAGGCGGAAGGTAGATTGTAGTTAACAATTAGAGGAAAGACGTTAGCCGGGAACACGAGAAGGAGAGAGGAGGTGGAGGGTGGGTGGACAGAGGTGTAACTCACGATTTTCGTAGGCACCAGCGGGGAGAGCTTCTGACCTGGCTTTGTGTATATTGTCCACCACTAACCGGGGGGGGGGGGGGGGATGCTGGCCCGTGTGTCTTGGGAGCACGCGGGTGTGGAGCTTTCTATGTCTCTTGTCTGGAGCAGATGTCTCAGGGAGGCGCAGATCGTCGTAGAAGCGGGCGCAGAAAGCTTGGTGTTTGGGCAGGAATGAACTAGTCAGATCTCAGCGGGCGTTTGCATAAGACTCCCATATCTCTGCTCTGGGCCCTAAACGCCACGGGGGGTGGGGGGGAAGGAAGAGCGCAGCAGGGCAGAGATTGTGGGGATGCGTGGCTGTGTGTCTGAACACGCCAGCACGTCGATGTGGCCTCTATTTCAAGGGTCTGTGGACTCACAGTAAAATAGAAGCGAGAGAGCATACACAGGGCGTGCGCTGGGAAAACAGGAGTCTAGACATTGTGTTCCATGAATGCTGGAGTCTTCATGAGGTTCAGGTGCAGAGGAGATTATGAGAGGAGACCACGCCTACCCTGGGTTTCTCCCCGTGATTGTGGGGATGTAGAATCCTGGGTGTTCGGCCATGCCCCCAGAGCCCAGAGATCTGGCATGAGGTCTCCATGTCCCAAGTAGAGGGCGGGGAAACAAGTCAATGCCTCAAGATTTCCCTGGCCCCGCCCCTACCCCTTCCAATATATAAACAAACCCCTCCCGACATTTTTTGGGAAAGCTCGCCACTCAGACACATCGCCATGTCAATAAATCTGGATGCCAACCCATCTCACGTGTCTCTTGAAATCCTGGACTCATTGTGTAAGTCAAGACTAGTGTGTGCCCCTGTCCGCGCGGGGCAGGAGAGGGAGAGAAGTCTTTTGCCCGCCCGGCACCCAGGACATCCCCGCCTGCTCCTGCTTGCGTGGCTGCCCGCACCGGCTTGTGTCCTGCGCCCCTGCTGCTGCGCGCCAGCTCTCGGGACAGGGGGATGAGAAGCCTTTCTCTCCACGGTCGGCTCCGTCCAGTGCGACTGAACAATGTACCTCGGGACCGCCGCTGACCGCCGCCCTGCGCTTCCGCCTGTGACCAGTGCGCGGGTGGCACCTGACATCTGGCGCCCAACGTGGGGCGAACTCCAAGAATGAAAGAATCACTTCCAACGGGACCGCCGCCGCCCGCCGCCGCCCTGCACCCCTGCCTGTGACCAGCGCACGGGTAGCGCCAGACATGGGTGTAAGTAGTTTTTCATGTCATCTAAAAGAATCAGTTAGACATGAGGTTGGACTTTCTTGAGAAATGGGGGTTTTTCTTTTTTCCAGTAAAGCTCCCAGGTTCTTGATAAACCATTATCGATACGCAGGTGGAATTGATTTGGTCAGCAGGAATCAGAAGTTAAAAAAAAATCTTAGTCTTTGCCCTTTGACGTGTCGTACAGTTTGATAACTTTCAGACTACTTTCCTATCATCACCTCATTAAATCTGAGGCCTGAGTGGACTGAAAACTCAGCTCAGCTAACTTAATATTTTATTTCTTACAAGTCACAAAAACCATTCAGTCATAGCATACGTTCCTATGAGATGTGTTTTAAAATAAGGAATGTGGGACTTAATACGTTTCCTTTAGTGCCGCCACCATATTTTTCAGCACCTAGACACCATGTCACATCTAGTTAGTGAGCAGAAACAAGCACAAACTCCCACTTGACCAAGTGACATTCTTCTGTAGGAAAATAAATACCCAGCTACAGAGGGGAGAGTAGCTTTAGGGAGAGAGCTGAGCCAAGGGGCTTTTTCCCCTTGCAAGGTTCGAGCATTTTAAGTGTATAAAGTCTTCATTCCTAGGCTATTTCCCATCGATTTAGTTTTTTGTGTGAGTGTTAAACCTCCTGTGGCTCCCTCTGCCTCTCCTATGCTGAAGTGGGTTTGTGTTCTGTACCTTTGTACTAGTTCTGGCTAATTCCAATTACTTGCTTTTTTTGAAATTGCAGTTGCTAGCCCAAAACTTCTTACAGTCTTTGTTACAAGAAAATCTCTGCTTGGGAGGCAGAGGCAGGTGGATTTCTGAGTTCGAAGCCAGCATGGTCTACAGAGTGAGTTCCAGGACACCCAGGGCTACACAGAGAAACCCTGTCTCAAAAAACCAATTAATTAATTAATTAATTAATTAATTAAAGAAAATCTCTGCATTGTTTAATGAAAATTAAAAAGGTTGTATAATTTTTTTAAAAAAGAAGAAAAAGTTAAAATAACAGATCATGGTCACTGCTGTCTTTGGCAGCTGTCTCTCCTCATACCCCAAGAATGCTTTGCAATAAACTCTATCTTCTACTGGACACACACACACACGGAGCAGAAGGTAAGAGAGTTTAGGAGAAAATATAAAATAGCTATTTGTTGATTAGGGAAGCTGGATTGAAGTGGAAACTTAAGGGTTCGTTGGAAAACTCAGTTGTGTTGATGGTGTTTTGCTGGGGCAAACATTTAAAGAAACATTTCCCTGAAGTGGACACAGGGGAAAGGCTAAGGCAGACTTGTGAAGGAGCATGTCACTGAAGCAGACACAGGTGAAAGGATGTTCTGCTAAAGCAAGCATGTGAAAAGGACACATGATGAAGGATTCTTTGCTAACAACACACATGTATTGGTCTGCCTTACATTGCATAGTTGCAATTTGTCGGGACTCCACAGGGAGGAATGCACCAAAAAACTTCTGGTGGTGTGCTGCAGTTTCTTGCAACTTCCTGGGACTCAGGATGATTGGCAGAGTGATGTCAGCTGAGACAGGCACAGGTGCTGAGGTAAGACACATGGAGGACACATGACGTCTGGAGGGCATATAAACAGGACTTCACAGACAAGGATTCCACTGACAGAGGCAGAGCTGGCTAATAGAGCTAGCAGTGCAATGCTTATTGGTCTCAAGTCTTTGCTTCCCTGAGAGAGGCACAGCTGAGAACTCCTGGTGTCCCCTCCTGGTCCCTCTTGCTGACTAGTGCAGAGGCTGAGGCCTGGCTGTCTGTGCTAGGTAGTGCCACCGCTATCCTGACTCTACTGAACTGGACTGCTGGTGTATCTGTGAAGTGTTTGAGAGTGGATGGAGCTGCCTGCTAACCTGTGAACTGAACTGCCGTTTTCCAGACAACACAGGTGGAAGTTACTCTAAAGAACCCTTCTAAACAGGTCCACTCCCCCCAACCCTCGACCGCCCCGTCCTTTCTTTTCCACTACCTCTGGTGGGTGGTGGGCTAAAAGTGAGGTTAAAACGTTTAAGAACCATCATTAAAAATAGGCTTTGAAAAAATTAAAATTATACTGAATGACCAGAATTTGGGATTTATTATGTGATTTTATACACATACACAATTATGTTTAAATCAGAGACAAGGAGAAAAAATATTCAGCCTGATGTGGTGGCATATATCTGTAATCCCCACACTCCAGAAGGCCAGCCTAGTCTTCAAGAAGAATTCCAGGCCAACCAGTACTATGTCTTGTAAGGCCTTGTCTCAAATAAAATATGTAAAAAATAATAACCTGATTAATAACCTTATTATCCACTAGCCATTCCTTTTTTTTTTAATTTTGTTTTTGTTTTGTTTTTTCGAGACAGGGTTTCTCTGTGTAGCCCAGGCTGTCCTGGAACTCACTCTGTAGACCAGGCTGGCCTCGAACTCAGAAATCTGCCTGCCTCTGCTTCCCAAGTGCTGGGATTAAAGGCGTGCGCCACCACTGCCTGGCTCCACTAGCCATTCCTAACAAAAAGTTTAAGTAATAGGGATTTATCAAGCGTCTGTGCGGTTTCTGGTTAAGTCTTCCAAAGTAAGTCTCGGACCTCAGCTCCCGCACCTACTGATACATAAATTATGGCCTTTGGTCAAGATTTTCCCCCAAGATCTAAGCACTGGAACCTCAAACCTGTCTGTACTGGAGCATGAAAGCACTTGGGGGTGGGAGAGAAGAGCCAAGGCCCTCAATTGCCAGGGCAGTGTGAACTTCAACCTCAGCCCTAATATCTGCAAGCAATCTGGAACCAACACACTCTCTTATCTACAAAACTGGCACTCATCTCGTTGGTGAGAGAGTTAAACCAGCTAATAGGTGTAAAGGGCCTAGATCCGTGACAGATAACAAATATTAGTCACCTGGCTCAACTTTTCATCTTAACCAGGACCAGTGAGGCTGTTCACAAGCCCTTGACCTGGGTTCAAAGTGCAAACCTGCAGGACTAGCGGATGCGCAGAAGAGAGGGTTGCGCCCCCGCGTGCTGCGCAACAGAACTGCCAGGGACCGCCCCCCGCGCTTGCGCACAGGCGCCGCCCCGAAGTTTGTTGTTGTCTTCTGCGTCTAGGACGTTTGTGGCGGTGGCAGCTGGCTCCGGTCACCGCGCCACCATGGCGGTGCGACAGGCGCTGGGCCGAGGCCTGCAGCTGGGTCGGGCGCTGCTGCTGCGCTTCGCGCCCAAGCCCGGCCCAGTGTCAGTCTGGGGGAGGCCGGGCCCCGCGGCGGCCTGGGGTCGCGGAGAGCGCCCGGGCCGGGTCTCAAGCCCCGGAGCACAGCCGCGACCGCTCGGGCTCCCCCTCCCGGACCGCTACCGCTTCTTCCGCCAGTCGGTGGCTGGGCTGGCGGCGCGGATCCAGCGGCAGTTCGTGGTGCGGGCCCGGGGCGGCGCAGGCCCTTGCGGCCGAGCAGTCTTTCTGGCCTTCGGGCTGGGGCTGGGGCTGATCGAGGAGAAGCAGGCGGAAGGCCGGAGGGCAGCCTCGGCCTGTCAGGAGATCCAGGTGAGAGCAGCGGTGGGCGGGGAGCGCCGGGAGCGGGCGGAACGGGCGGAACCGAGCCGGAGTGCAGCCCCGAGGCCAGAGGGGCCGGGGCGGGGCCTAGGCCAGAAGGAGGCGGAGTTAGGAGAGTGAGTGGTCGGGGTGGGCGGAGTCTGAGCGTGAGGGGCGGAGCTATCTGGATAATTATCCTGGCAGCCTCCTAGTCTTAGTGTAGGGGCGAGTCTGAAGTTGAACCAGGGCGTGGTAGGAGCCTGGGCTTTGGGATGAGCAGGTCCCGAGCCGTGATTGGGCAATTCAAGGAGGTGGGGTACTTGTGGACTGGATTGAGTGAAGGGGAGCATCTTAGTTATGTGTCTAGGAGCATGTCATGAGGGCATGCCTAGACCTTGAGGGTAGGTGAGGGGATAAGGCAAAGATTAAGGTCTATCTTTGACTTGACTATAATTTCCTTAGAAATGATCAATTAATTAGGGCTGGCCTATTTCCCATGACTGATGTCCTGATGTGCCAACACTTTGCTATTCTTTTACAAACAGTATGCTTTAAAAGATTATTAGTCCCTGTCGCACTGTGGCAAGTGGCTTTGAGTACATTTCTTTTCTTTTGGGATGCGTAGGAGGGGGACAGGGCCTTGATTTGTATATGTAGCCCAGGTTGGCCTTGAACTTCTGACCTTTCTACCTCTATCTCCTAAGTGCTGAGATTATTGGTGTGGGCCAGTATGCTTGCTTAGTACACATTTTCTAAAATCCCTAGCACTCTTATCCCTTGATAATTTAATCCTTAATTGAATCCTTATTTACGGAGGACCCATACTCAAGAAAGATGAAAAGGTTTATTCAAAATCACACAGTTGCTGAAGGTAATGCCGAAAGTTCCCCCTTCAAAACCCTGTGTCCTCTGCTGAGCCAGACTGCCACCACTCCAGTTTAGCCAAACAATGGGAGAGAAGCTGAGCAGAAACTGCAGAGAAGCTGGAACGTCAGGAGAACACAGAAGATCTTAATGTTTTAGTTACCCTGAGTGGAGTTATCACTGGATACAGGGGAGCTCTCGGGCCTTTTAAGCTCTTAAAATAGCACAGAGCCCCCTCTACTCACACAGTCGTCAGTCAAGGTCATCCAGAGACACAGAAACAATAGGATGTGTATATTTAGAGCTGGGAACTTATTTTGAGGACTCGCTCATGCTGGGCTGGCAGATCTAAAACCAGCAGGCAGGTCCGGGAAGAGCCAGCTCTGCAGTTTAAGTCCTTAGGTGGTTGGCTGCCAGAACTCAGCCTTCTTTGGGGAGACCAGACTTTTCCTTGAGGTTTGGAACCACTTGCTGAGTCAGTGCAGCCCCTGCGCCCTTCAGGGTAAGGGCTGAGGGGCAGAGGCTTAAAAGCACCATGCTCAAAACTATCAATGAGCATTTCCTCTCCACCCCGTTCCTAATATCGGAATCCAATCCCTGTGTCTTACGTAGCTACGCAGGGAGACCCTGCCGCAAGCAAGCAAGCAAACAAATAGGACAGGATATGCATCCAGGTGACAGGTAAGGGTATGTGAAGATTTTCAACAACACTGGCCGTTTGATAAGTGCACATGAACACAAGATGAGCTATCCACTTACCAGAGTAGCTAACATAAAAATAAGAACAGCAGACACCGTGAGGCCGGGAAACGGGAGGTCTCGTTACTGGTTGTCGTTGCAAACGGAAAGTAATACAAAATTAAATAGGTATTTACCACACCAGCCTGTCATTGAGGTCATCAGCATCTACTGGGGGAAACAGAAACAGTCATACAAAACCCTATTGCTGCGGTTACTATGGAAAACGGTAACCCTTACCTCCAAAGATTAAAAATAGACTCATTCTCCCTGGTAATCCCACCTCTGCACAAATATTTGGCATAATAGAAAGCGTGCATAGGCCTTTATACACTGAAGCTCAAGGCAACTTACTTACAATAGCCATGAGGTAGAAGTGACCCCAGTGTCCTTCAGTGCACGAATGGATAAACAGAGTAGACACAATACAGGGTATTATCCAGCCTTTGAAAGGGAAGGACATTCTGGCACCTGCTACACATGGCTGAATCTTAAAAGACAATATATGGCTCTAGTTCTAAGAGCCAGGCTTCTATGCATGCCCAGACAGAGAGGAGGAAGAACAAAGCGTAGTTAAAGTAGGAGGGACCGAGGGGCTCACAGAGCAGCCCTGCATCTTGACTGGGGGGTCATCACATGAGACCACATGAAGTGAGATTGTGTAAGGCTGCACACTCATGCACAGGTGTGCACACACATGCGTTACATACATGCATATACACATGCAAGTGTTTTGGGTCCACAAGCACTCAAGGACACACACACACACATGCATATACACATGCAAGTATAGTAACAGTTGAGTCTGACCTGCATCTAACCATGGACCCATGCCAGTGTGATATGTGCTACCACTGTATAGTGTCTTGTGTTCAAAACCCTGGTTGTTGGGGATTACTCTGCAAATATCTCTCCCACCCCTGGAGTTTGTGAAGCTATTGGCAAGAGAACACCCATTTCCATTGTATTAAACGGTTAGAAGCTTTGGTTCAGGGTATAGCTTCTAGGGACCCAGTGCTTTAGGAACCACAGAAGGTATGTGTGACAGGTGTCCCCAGGGCTGGTTCTGGAGGAAGGATGGCCTGCAATGGGCCTGAGTAAATAGGGGTTTGCCAGGCACAGCAGGAATGCAGATGGGGGCCTGGAAGAGATCATGAAGGGACTGGGGATTAAGGGACTGGGGAGAGGCGGCTGCTGCAGGGCAAGCACAGACAGATGTGCATTGCTCGGTGACAGAGCACTTGCCTAGTGTAGGTAAGGCCCCGGGATCCCAGAAACAAGCAAGTGTAGGTGTACACAACCCAGCCTAGCAAAGCTCCAGGACAAACCACAGTTGTCCCCTAGTGACCACGGGGAATGGGTTCTAGGTCCCATTCAGATATCTAAATGCACAGGTCAATAAGAAGTCTGTTCTGGATGGACCCGTGCATACTCCTGTGGGCTGTCATTCACAGTGCCACACGTGGCGTTACACAGACCTGAACAAATGCTGCATGAGGAGCTGCTTTCTGGACATAGAATAATGGCAAGAAAAAAAATGCCCATATGAGTTACTTGTCTTGTTTTGTTTGGTTGTTGAAAACAAGGTCTCAGGCCGGGTATGGTGGCACACTCCTTTAATCCCAGCACTTGGGAGGCAGAGGCAGGCAGATCTTTATGAGTTCAAGGCCAGCCTTATCTACAGAGCAAGTTCCAGGACAGCCAAGGCTACACAGACAAACACAAACCCTATCTTGAAAAAGAAAAAGAAATCAAGGTTTTACTCTACTGCCTGGATTCAAACTCATGGTCCTCCAGAGTGCTGGGATTACAGGCGTGCACCAGCATCTTGGACTTTAATAGCATTTTTTAAAGAGTCTTTTCCATCTTCAGTTGGTAGAAGCCACATATGCAGGGCCTGCCTTGGGTTGTGTCTGATCAAGGGAGGAGATGTGTGAGAAAGCCTGTCTTAGACAGTGAGGCAGAGACAGGCTACATGACAGCCCTGCCTCAGTGTGCCTCTCCCCTCTTGTGTTTGCTATGGTGGCCTTACTAGAGCCCCTCCAAAGACCCCCCCCCATAACAATGCATTCTTTTCCCTCATAGACAATATTTACACAGAAAACCAAGCGCGTGTCTGACCCACTGGACACACGATGCTGGCAGGGCTTCCGTCTGGAGGATTATCTGATAGGACAGGCCATTGGCAAGGGCTGCAATGCCGCTGTGTATGAAGCCACCCTGCCCACGTTGCCCCAGCATCTGGAGAAGGCCAAACAACTTGGCCTTCTAGGAAAAGGCCTGGATGTCATCCCAAAGGGAGCAGCAGATGGGGAGCAGGCTCCAGGGGCCCCCACCTTCCCCTTTGCCATCAAGATGATGTGGAATATCTCGGTAAGGATGGACCTTTCCCCTTCTGAGCAGGCGCTTCTCAAAGAGATCGTCTTTGGGGCCTGGGGGAGACTTTCACAGGCTTTCCACAAGAAAGGCTGTGGGGTTGGGCTTCTGCTGTCTTATGTGAGAGTCTGAAGCTGTCAGTCTCGGATGGTAACACGTCCACCATCTACCAGGGACTCAGGTCCCATGGCAGATTTGGATTCAATCAGGGTGGGCCTTGAGAGTCTGATTTCTTCACAAGTTCTGATAGTGCCCAGGTTTCTGTTCTAAGCAGCAGCTACCTAAACCATGGATTTTTGAGCTGATGGTTATTTCATTTGAGGTCAGCCATAAAGCCATTCACTCTTCCTTCCATGACTGGCTTCCTTGGCCAAGGGGGAGCCATGTTCTTCTCCATTACCCCAGCATGATCCAAGGCCGACTGTCACCTCCCTGTGGTCAGTTTTGAGATGGTGGTGACCAGAGACATCCCTGGTGACAAGCATCATGGGCTCTGAAATTTTAGCCTCTGTTCTTTTCCAGGGTCACTTGACTACCAAGAGTTTGAGGTACAGCAAGCGTGCTCCAAGTGGTACCTTCCTCTGGTTTCCAGGAGTAAATGGTTTGGGCTTCCCACTTTAGAGGAGTTTATTTCACCTTGACGGTCAAAGCCAGTTCTAGGTTGCAGCTGTCTTGGTTCAGATCCCACAGGTCTGTGTGGTCATACGTGCCCCGTGGATGTGTTTTAGGCAGGTTCCTCCAGCGAAGCCATCTTAAGCAAAATGAGCCAGGAGCTAGTCCCGGCAAGCCGCGTGGCATTGGATGGAGAGTATGGAGCAGTTACTTACAGGTAAGCACCCCTGTGCCCACCAAGCAAGCGTGAGTTCTTTGAGATCAAATGTGTCATGTGTACCCCCAGGACTCAGCTCCACATTTAATAGGCTGCACAGTTATTGCATGATGTCCTGGAAGGATTTTTAATTTGTGGATAAGGTAAATTTGGGAAAGACTGAAGGTTATCTCACATTGGTCAGTAACGACGCGGATGGCTGATTCACATGGGAGCAGGTGTGAACACCATCCAAACAGGCCCAGTTCAGAGTGCTAGCTGGTGTCCTCTAGTCCTGGGAAAGCAGTGTGTGGGTGTAGCGCCACCTAGTGGTACGCCTGTGTGAATGAGGCGCCATCTAGTGGTACACACTCACTGTCTCCACGGGCAGGAACCCTAGTGACAGTGGCCGTGAGCCTGAAGTGCAGACTCCCATAGCCCTGACCCGTCTTCTTGTCTCCATGACTTTCTTAGCTATCTGGCCTTCAGTCCTGTGCCAAGGGTGCCAGCTGAAGTGCTGCTGGCTCTCCAGAGAAATTCTTCCCCCCCAATCCCCGAACACTCAAGGGCCGTGCCCACTTGGCCTCCAGAAGCCTTGGACTCAGCTGCTCGCTGCCTCCCCCACCTCAGGTCTCATCCTTTGACATTTGTACCCTCCCCTCCCGAAAGCCACACCCTTCCCCAGAAGCCCGAGCTCTTACTCTGCTGTGCTCAGGCCGCTCTCTCTGCACACCGCAGACAGACCTAGTTCAGACCCAACCTGCTATCTCCTCACACTGCCTTGGAGCTCCTGTGACACCTGCAGGGGTGCCGCCAGCCTCCTGCTGAGATCCTGACACTCCCTGTCACAGCTGACCCAGGGGCAAGGACAATGCTACATAGTGCGGGGACCTACTCCTGTGACACAGAAGGACAGTACAAGGACACACATGAACTAGGTCCACAAGGCTCCAGGACAGGACAGGGGGCCTCCCGAACTTGGCTGGCTCCTCTCTGGGTGCTCCTCTGTTCTCCTCTGCACCCTTAGCGTGGGTGTCGCCTCCGTGTGGCTCTTCTGTTCCCACAGGCCTTTGCTTCCAGTCCCCTTCCCTGTGTCCCCTAAGAGAAGTGACCTCCCTGCCTGTTCCTTTTCCCTCCAGCCATCGAGATCTCAGATGAGCCCATGAGCACACTGCCCTTGGTTCCTATTGCCCGCTCTTAGTCCAGTCAGTTTCCAGTCTCCCTGTGATGGGAGAGATGAATTTGTCCGGGTCCCTGTCCTCAGAGAGCTGAAAGACTCACTCCTGCGTTAGATCTCAAAGCAGTGACTCTGCTCCGTGCATAGCTCCAGCATTGGAGCTAATGCCTGGCTCTCCTTGTGGCCATAGTAAATGCTAATTAAACAACTAACAGTGCATCAGCGTTGCTGAGTGCCTGTGCTGCTGAGCACAGCTGTAGTGCTTTGTGTGTATTCGCTGCCTTGCACACAGCATCGCTCTCTTAGTCCGCATTTCCCACTGCCCTGAGCTCAGAGGACTGAGTGTGGCAGCTTCCGGCGTCTCTGAGCCACTGTGTTCTGCCGTGTGAGATGGATAGATGGGCCAAAGTGGGGACTAGGGGAACCATTGAGTGGGAGGAGTCACCCTGTTGGGGTTTCCCCACGCTGCTGTGCAGTAGCTGGAACAGGGCGGCTGCAGTGGGAACGGGTAACTGTGAGTGGGTGCCTGTCACGGTGGCCTTAGCTCGTCTGCCCAGCACTCGTCTCTGATGCTGGCCCCATCTGCTGTTCCATTTGCCTGAACAGAAGATCCAGAGACGGTCCCAAGCAGCTTGCCCCGCACCCCAACATCATCCGGGTTTTCCGCGCCTTCACTTCATCTGTGCCCCTCCTGCCGGGGGCCCTGGCTGACTATCCTGACATGCTGCCCCCACACTACTACCCAGAAGGCCTGGGCCACGGTCGCACACTCTTCCTCGTTATGAAGAAGTAAGTGGTGGAGGGGTAGTGGGGGGAGGGTAGTGGGGGGAGGGGAAGGCTCGTGAGGCAGCTGCTCCTTTCCCATGGGAGCCAGTCTGTCCTTGGAGCTCAGGGAGGAACAAAGCATGCAGTGAGGGCTGTGTGGGAGAGAACCGTGTTAGACTGATCGGTCATCCCATCTTCCAGAGTGTGCTCCCCACCCAGTGCTCTTGGCACCTTCATAGCTTTCCTCCGTATGGCATCTTCCTGTGCCAGCTAACTGCAGAGACGGGTCTGAGGAGTTGGGGAGCGGCACTGTCATGACTTCTGAGATTTAGGATCAGGGTGGGTGAGATCCGAAAGGATGACTGGAAATAAAGAAATAAAGATAGTAGAAGCTCCAGAAGAGGAAAGGCCCAGTCCTAGCAGGGAAGGAGGCCGTGGGAATTGTGACCTCCAGACATTCTGTCCTGTCCTGCCAGCTACCCCTGTACCCTGCGCCAGTACCTTGAGGAGCAGACTCCCAGTTCTCGCCTGGCTACTATGATGACCTTGCAGTTACTGGAGGGCGTGGACCACCTGGTTCAGCAAGGCATTGCCCATCGGGATCTCAAGTCCGACAACATCCTTGTGGAATGTGACTCAGGTAGGTAGATGCTGGCCAGACCCGCAGTGCTCCAGACACACCCAGAGTGCTCCAGGGAGGGGGATTGGAGACCCTGAGGGCAGGGTATATGTGCACATGTGAAGTGCACATGGTCGGGGGTCAGAGGTTGGTGCCTGGCTCCTTTCTCCTTCTCTCTCCCTTATGTTTTTAGAAAGGGTTGTTCACTGAACCCAGAGCTCACTGTTTCAGTAAGACTAGCTGGTCACTGAGCCCCTGGGATCTCTCTCCATCCCCCTAGTGCTGAGGTTATGACTTTGACATGGGGTTTTTGGGGTTCCAAAGGTAGGTCCTCATCACTCTAACCACTGAGCCATCTCCCCAGCCCTTTGAACATTATACACTACCTTCTTTAGCTCCACTTCAAGAGAGGACCCCCTCCATCTCAGGGTGAGATAGGCAACAGCCCTCTTACAGTTTCTGGGGTCTTCTCCATGGCCCTCTTATAGAACAATACCGTCTGTCCTGTAGTTCTTGAAAGGAAGGTTAACTGTGGCTCAGTGAAAGCTGCCCATGCAAACCCGGCTTCTCCATCACTGGCAACAATGAGAAGCCCCCTGCCCGAGGATCTTCTAGAGGAGTTGCAGGGTTGGAGAGATGGCTCAGTGGTTAAGAGAGGAGACTGTTCTCCTCTCATTCAGACGACCTGAGTTTGGTTCCCAGCACCCACATGAAACTCACAACTGCCTTTAACCCCAGTTCCAGGAGATCTGATGCCCTCTTCTGGCCTCCCCGGGGCACCTATACACGCTAGACAGACACATACACGTAGATAAGAATAAAACAAATCTTTTTAAAAACTAAACTTCAAATAATGAACTGTGTCTCTAGAAAGCTAAGTGGACTAGCTTTTTCAGGAGCTCCATGAACCTTTAGCTCCCAGGGTCTGTTTGCTAGGTTATTGGCATTACGAATTCAAATGTAAGACTCCTAGGGTATACAGACCCTGGGAGACCATTTAGCCCAGGGTGAGGTCCTTCGGTCTCTGGGTTGTATCTAGTCTTATCTTGGTGGCACTTGGTGGCATGTGGAGGGATCTGGGAGGGACTGTCATGAGTACAGGAGACCGTGCTGCTCACTCAGCTGCCTCTCTGCAGATGGCTGCCCCTGGCTGGTGATCTCGGACTTTGGCTGCTGCCTGGCTGATGAGCATGTTGGCCTGCAGTTGCCTTTCAACAGCTCCAGTGTGGAGCGTGGTGGCAATGGCTCCCTGATGGCCCCTGAGGTGAGTCCTGCCAGCAGGGGGCGTTTCCTACGTATTCCTGTCCCGCTGCCCCGGTTTCACTAGGCTGACCTGAGGCCCCTGGGAGGTTTGTCTGCATCAACTGGGAGGCTGTGGCCGATCCCTCTGGGCTTCGTGCCTCCCCATGATGCATTTACATTCTGGGTTCAGATTTGATTGCAGCTTAGGTTTTGTGCCTGAGCACAAAGGGTAAGCCTGCTGGGGCCTGACTCTCACTTTCCCCTGCCCACAGGTATCCACAGCCCGCTCTGGCCCTGGTGTGGTAATTGACTACAGCAAAGCTGATACCTGGGCTGTGGGGGCCATCGCCTATGAAATCTTTGGGCTTGCCAATCCCTTCTATGGCCAAGGCAGTGCCCACCTTGAGAGCCGCAGCTACCAGGAGGCCCAGCTGCCCGAGATGCCCAAGTCGGTGCCTCCAGAGGCAAGACAGCTGGTGAGGTCACTGCTCCAGCGAGATACCAGCAAGGTGAGGGTGTTTCCAAGCTTTGGACTCTGGGTGAGGGCCTCTGTTCATATCTGAGTCAAGGCTAAGTTTAGGCAAGCTCTCCAGTGTTACAGAGAGCCTCTGTCATATACAGGCAAAGGCCAACTACAGAACAGAGTAGGTTTGAGAGGAAACAGGAGCAGAAAGCTGCCAGCAAGCCTTGAATCCAAGACCTAGCAGTGTAGCCTTTGGGTCCTTTTCACTCCCTATTCATGGGGCTTTTGCATGCTGGGCAAGCACCACGCCATCTGTGTTTCCCAGTCCTCTTGGCTTTGGTTATGTTGGAAGTTGCTTAGAAGAATGGGCTGGTGAGATGGCTCAGCAGGTAAAGGGGCTTGGCACACCTGACAACCTGAGTTCAAAACCTGGGACCCACATGAAAGCAAAAGGAAAGAGTTGAGCCCACCAAGTTATCCTCTGACCTTCACACACACGTGCTACAGCCTGCAAACCCACGCACATCAGACAAATCCAACAAGAATGAAAAAAAACCTTAGGGCTGGCAAGATAGCCGGGTAGATAAGGACACTTGCTGGCAGGTTTGATCCCACGACCCATACTGGAAGGAGAGAGCCAACTTCTGCAGCCTACCACCCCCTAAATAAATAAATGTAACTAGGATATCTTTGTTTAAAGGAGATTGGCTTGGAAGAAAAGGATGTGTTTTTGAGAAATGGGACACAATGGAAGGAAACACTGCTCTCAGCCCAGCAAGAGCCGAGAGGCCAGTCTGCCTGAGCCAGACTTCCAAGAGCAGGTCTGGGTCAGGTGGCTCCTTAGAAAAACCTTAGACAGACCTGGCCTCAGCCTACTGTTCTGCAGCCTCCACACCTCTCACTGTTCACCCCCTCACTGTTCACACCCCTCACTGTTCACACTCTGTGTTCACATCCTTCACTGTTTACCCCCTCACTGTTTACACCCCACTGTTCACAATGTTCACACCCCTCACTATTGACACTTCTCACTGTTCACTCTCTTCACATCCTACTCTTCACACCATCACTGTTCACACCCCTCACTGTTCACTCTCTCTTCACATCCTGTGTTCACACCCTCATTGTTCACACTCACTCTTCACCTCCTACTCTTCACCTCCTCACTGTTCACACCCCTCATTCTTCACACCCCTCTCACTGTTCACACTCACATTTCATACCCTCACTGTTCACACCACTCGCTCTTCACACCCTCACCTTGTAGCTGCTCAGCAACTACTCCAGGTGCAAAGGCCTCTTGCCCCAGTGTTAGAGACCAGAGCAGTGTGTGGGTCCCCTTCATGACAAAGGTGTCTCAGCAAAGCTGACATGGGCAAGGGCCTAGGCTTGGTTAGGGGGCAGCTGAGGGAAGATGGGTGGAAGAATCAAATTGGGGCAAGCCTGAGATGACACTCCATCAGCCACACGGTGTGGACCAAATGCTTGTCGCAGGCATTCTGACGACACCTTCCATTGCTTTGCAGAGACCATCTGCACGCTTAGCTGCAAATGTGCTGCACCTAAGCCTCTGGGGTGAGCATCTTCTAGCCCTGAAGAACCTGAAATTGGACAAGATGGTTGCCTGGCTCCTCCAGCAATCCGCAGCCACTCTGCTGTCTGACAGGCTGAGGGAGAAGAGCTGCGTGGAGACAAAGCTGCAGATGCTGTTTCTGGCTAACCTGGAGTGTGAGGCACTCTGCCAGGCAGCCCTCCTCCTCTCTTCCTGGAGGGCAGCCCCGTGATGGCGCTGTGCTGCACTGTTACTAAAAGACTAAGAGGCGTCTGTGTCGTGATGTCATGATGGTGTGCGAAGGCTGAAGGAGGTGGCTTGGCTCGGTGGGCAGGAGTCAGGGGACAAGCTGGCGTGGAGGAGAGGCTGGTCATCCAGAGGAAGGAAGCCTTGGGGTCAGCGGATGGGAAGGCTGGCGTGGACAGTTCAGGAGGTAGAGAGGGCACCTGCGCCATCCATTGAGGTTCTTGGGCAGAATTAAGACAGCAGGCCAGACCAGGAGTTGGTAAGCTGTAGAGGACAGGAAATTAAGTAGTTGTAACGACTTACCTGTCACTAAGGTGAAGGACAAGCAAGCACTGCGGCACAGCTGACACTGAACCTCGCTTGTCGTCAGTAAGGTCTTCTCATTTTTTCCCAACCACTTAGAAATGCAAACAGCCAGGTTTAGTTTCTGAGTGGCAGGCCAGCATGGCTCACTGTCAAGTTTACCAGTTCCTGGGCTAAATGCGTTCTCAATGTCTTAACTCTTAAAGACGCTGATCATTAAAGACAGTCTCCATCCAGAGACATGCACATTGGTGCCAAGTGTTGTCCCCACCAGGGGAAAAATCCGTCACTCGGTGCTGACCAGGAAGCACTCCCCACCCTTGTCTGCCCTCAGTCTACCGATGGCCGTGCTGGTTACATGAGGACAGGCTGAGGGGGTGAGACCTGTCCTCCCTGTCACTGAGATCCAAGACAAGGCAGTGGGTGGCAGTTTGTGATCCCTGTCCCTCGTGCTAAGAATGGGCTTTATGATATAGGCGGCCAGTGTTGCTTAGACTGTACCCTCTAGGCTGAGGGCAATGTTACGTTCATGGTTCACGACTGTGTTCGGGGACCAGCAGGAAAACCCATCCTATGGCAGGGGCATCTGCAGGGCTGGTGCAAGGTACGCCTGGGAATGTTCCTCAGCACCGCCGAGTTGCTTCTGGATTAGTCTAGTACAGCTGAAAGCATCAGTGCAGCAGGCACTCAGTGTGGTGTGTGAGCTGGGTGACTTGTCTGTGTGGCCAGCCCTCCTTACAGGAGCTATGGGATATTAAATGCAAATTTACAGCGTAAGGCAGAACATAGTGTGCTGAACTGAGGCTCTAGCATTTACAGTGACTCTCGCCCCCCAACAGGGAGAAAGGTTCACATACAGTTTAACATGTGCTTGTTAAGAACACAGATGTGGCTGGGCTGTGGTATGCACACCGTTGATCCCAGCATCTGGGAGGCAGAGGCAGGCAGAGCTTTCAAGAGTTCAAGGCTAGCCTGGTCCCACACAGAGAAACCCTGTCTTGAAGCAAAACAAAAACAAAGGAACAAAAAGAACACAGGGAGGACCTAAAGCCAGTGAGCATGAGCACGGGGTTTATTTTATGCATACGGTGTTTTGTCACTTGAACGTCTTGTCTCCTGGGAGGCCAGGAACGGGCATCAGATCTCCACAGACTAGAATTACAGATGGTTGTGAGCTACCATGTGGGTGCTGGGACTTGAACCTGAGTCCTTCACAGGAAGAAGCAGTGCTCTTAGCCAGGTCATCTTTCCAGTCCCTCTGGGGTCTCTTCAGCAGCAATTCTTAGGCCAGCTGTCGGTCTAGTTTCCATTGTGTGATCCCACCTCCTTGAGGAGAGCTGAGAGACACATAGGCTCTAGCAGGGTATTCCTAGGCAGCAGCCCTGCCATCATCAGTGACATGGGGCCAGGTGACGGGTGAGGGCAGTGGTTCTCTTTATTTTAGAAATGGGCGTGGCTGCACATACAAAAAACTGCCACAGAGTGATTCAAACTTGGAAAACTTACAGAAAAAAAATGTTCCCTGCCCCCCACCCCATAGTCATCTCCCTCTGAGGTAAGGCTGCGCCATTTTCCCATGGCCTTTAAAAAAACCCAACCAATCCATTGTGACGTCCTCTGGCCGTCTCTGCTGTGTGCAGTCCCAGGCTCTGGCTCAGTCAGACTTCTCCTTCTCCTTCATGTGCAAGAAGACGATGCTGAAGATGAAGAGCCCGGCCATCATGGAGAAGGCACTGGCGTAGTATGGGTAGGCTGAGGGGATGAAGCGCTCATACTGCGTGTGCTGGAGTGGCCTCACTGACACCTGTGAAGGGACAGAGTTGACAGGCCCTGGGGGCTGAGGCCTAAGGGGGACACCTACTGGCCAGAAGCGGGACTGCCCCTTGCTCACCTGGGTGGAAGAGTACAAGTGGGTGTAGCCTAGCCGGTTGTAATCCACTTTGAACTGGAATACGCCATACACGTCAGGCAGCTTGAACTGGACACTGTACTTGCCACCTGGGGAAGAAGCAACATCAAAACCAGGAGGCTTCCCCAGAGGGAAGTGTGCCCTGAGCAGACACAGGTGGCAGGAGTCCCACACACCTTTCCTCTTGAGGAAGGTCCTCACAAAGGGGTCGATGCGCACGAACTCCAGCTGAATGTCATCCCCGTCAAAGGGGACCCACTTGCCATTGGAGAGCTGCTCGATCACGATGCTATACTCCTGAGAGGAGAGGCTGGGTCAGCTAGGAGTGCCACAGGCGGAACTGCCCGTAATGCCCACCCGAGACATGGCAGGGACTCCAGGAGGCCTGCAGTCACTGAGCATGGCGGGGCCAACAGCTGGAGCACCTCTGTCTTCCCTGGGCCTGAGGTCCTCAGTGCAGGAGAGTGAGCAGGCTGCCTCCTCTCCTCTAGCCTACGGCATCCAACCCAGGTAACTGCCTGCCCCGCCAATTAGACCGAACAGGCCTTCCCACGGCCATGCAGCCACCAGGGCTTTGGTTAGCACCGACAGCCCTCCACATCTCTGCTGGCTCTTAGGGACAGACTAATGTACATATTCACCCTTCTGGGCGCCCCTGCAGCATCTGCGCTGAGACACCCTGATCAGATCCTTAGAACCTGCCCTCCCCAGGACCTCTTACCACCAAGTCAGTGACAGTGTAGGCACTGGGTGGGGCCATCTCGCCCACCCGGTGATGGGACACAGGCCCCACTCGGAGAACGCCCTCTTCCTTGAACACCCAGCGGGAGAGGGCCACAGCCAGTTCATAGTTGCCTGTCTGAGAGTACCTGGAGAAGGGAGAGGAGAGGCGGGGCTGCTGCCCACTTCCTGCTGGTGCTAACAGGCCAGCACACACTACCGCGTTCCAAGCTTTGGCATTACCTCTGCGCTCCGGGTGTGGCCTTCTGCACTGCTGAGTTGAAGAAGGCATCGCTGAAGAAATCCAGAGAGCCACTGAAGATGACCCGGGCATTGTTCCTTGCCTGGAGCCCAGCAATCAGCAGAGTATTCCTCCCCACTGCATGGGGGTACTGGGAACAGAACGAGGCGGTCACCTGGGCATTACCAGAGTGCCGGCAAAGCCACCACAGCAAGGGGACAGCAGGCTGGACCCAGCTGGACACTGACATAGCTCCATCTCCACACCCACCCGAGGGAGGACCTAGGATTCCACCACTGTCCCAGTCCCATCATCTCTTTGTTGGGGTCAGCACGGCCCATGGCTGTGTGTGTGCACGTGCGTGCATGCGTGACACATCAGTGTCAGCACGGCTCTGCTCTGGGCTTGCCACTGGGCCCAGGAGCTGGAATATGGAGCCTGCAGAGGCTCTTACCTGGGTGATTGGCTTATCTGGGAAGAAGGAGTAAGAGGTTGAAGAGCCTGTTAGGATGTCCAACACCAAGGGATTGTCAGGGTCTGCCACCATTCTGCAAGGAGGAGAGCGCTGCCTAGCACTGAGCAGGAGGTGGATGCAGGACAAGGGTCCCACACCACCTCCCCTAGGGAATTTCCAGAGAAGTTAGTTCTTCCCTTTCTCCTTTGTCATCCATCCATCCATCCATCCATCCATCCATCCATCCATCCATCCATCCATCCAAAGATATGGTCTCACTAACCAGACTGGTGTGGAAGCCCCAATACCCCTGCTTCAGCCTCCTAAGTAAGGCAAGCAGCACTACATCCGGCCAGGAAGGACCCTTTCTCAACAGCCAAGCACTCGGGGCCCCTCTTGTTTACAGTAAGACTCACTGGCACCACCTGGGGGAGGAACACTCTCAACCCTAAATTTGGCTTGATGTTCACAAACAGCCAGTGGCCCTTGTCCCTCTGGGTCTCACTGGTCCCCTGCACACTCACCCAACTCCTCGGAAGAGAATGGGGTTTGGAGATGACTTGCCAACAATAGTTGGGGCCTTCAGCAAGTTCTCAGTGTCAGCCACGATGAGCGTATGCTGCGAAGGGAAAAACAAGGCAATGGTCAGGAAGAGGGTCCTGGGCCGGGGAGTCCTCGCAACTTCCAGCTGGTCTCTACGCAAAGCTGAGGTGCGCGCTGAGATCCAGATATCTGAGGGGACAAGCCTGCTTACCTGGCCAAGGTCTGAGACATCGTAGTTGTGGTGGTCGATGACAGCTGTTTTTTCTTCATCAAATTCAATCCCACACTCACTGCCCAGCTCCCGAAGAGGGTCACCTGCACAGATCCACTCAACTGGTGAGCCGCAGTGTCCAGCGCCTCCATCAGGCAGGGCACCACCTCCAAGGCTTGGATTCGTAGTGGAGCTAAACGACAGCCTCCCCCTCCTGACATAAAGATGTAATAACCTGGTTCTACCCACACCCTCTTAGCAAACTTAGCAAAGCCACAGCCAATGATGGCTTCGGCAGGCCTGAGCTAACCTGTCCTCCTCACTACCCCACCAACAGACCCACTGAGATGAAAGTCCATCACTGCTGCAAACAGGCCCTGAGCTGTGCACTGCTGAAGCTGAGGGACCAGTACATGAACTAAGGATACAATTCTCTCCCTACTGCTGTACAACTTTGGAACTTTCAAAACTAGAATCCAAAACTAACTCCACCCGCTGCCTCCCCTGACTTCCTCGTTCCATCTAGAGTGGGTTGGTCTGATGCTGCTGTATTCTAACACCAAATATCAGTTTCTCTAACTGTGGCTGCCCCTGACGAGCAGATCCTCATGTATTCCAGGGATGCCATGTGAACTTTCTCCCCAGTTTTTTTCTTCCTACCCAATTTAACTGGTCAATAAAAGGCTAGAGCCTGTGACTGGGCAGTGGAGGAGAAAGGTAGGACTGAAGGTTTGAATGAGGGGTTTGCAGATAGAGAGACAGAGGAGGGAGAAGTTAGACCTGCCCAACCTAGGCTCATGCCTTGTGAATAAAACACCTGGATTGTGTGTCCTTTATATGGCTTGTTAGGATTATAAATTCATGCTACACTCATTAGGGTCCCAGATCAGTAAACCTGCAGCTCCCTCACTGCCTCCCTGGCCAGTGTCACCCTGGCATCTCCTGCCTCCCTGCCAGTGCCACCCTGGCATCTCCCGCACGCAAAGCTCTCTGAGTTGCAGGGTAACCGGTGGGAAGTGTTGCAATTTCCTAGGGCAGACTTACCGATATCAGAGCTGGCAGCCACCAGAACGCTGCCACCACCGTCGATGAAAGCACTGATGGTTTCCACATTGATGTTTCCTCCAAAATCTGAAAGAAGGCCACGGATACAGTGACCA